TCTTTTGTATGGTTTGTGCGCTTACAATGATCACACCATAGGTTGTTCCGACGAGTAGATCGGGATGAAGGTGGTGGTGGACCTCGTGCCGCCAGAGCTGATGATTCCAGTGAGAGGGACAAAGGTTTTGTATGTGTATCACCCATCATCACACGTTTACGGCTTGACTCCCAGCGAACTTCTGCGAAGATTTCGTCAATGGCTGGGATTGGCTTTGTGGCAAGTAAGCGGCCACGCACATCATCTAATTCCGGACGAATACCTGCAAGAAAATCATAAATTCGTTCCTTCTCGACATGTTTGCGGAAGCGTTCAGCATCCTTCGAGTTCTCCCATTCGAGATTGAGACATAAATCAAGTTCAGCCCACAACCTACGTAATGAGCTGTAGTATTGGGTGACATCGGATTCACCTTGTCGTAAGGAATGTGCCTTATTGCGTAATTCAAACAATTGAGCCGAGTTATCAAAATCAGAAAAAACCATAGTGAGCGCATTCCAAAGATCCTTTGCTGTTGAGTAGAATATGAAGGATTCTTTAATGTCCTCCTCCATCGAGTTAATGAGTCATGCCATGACCATTGAGTTYTGTGCATCCCATACGGAAAAAGAAGGGTCAGCTTCATCTGGTTCTGCTATCGTGCCATTGATGTACCCGAGTCGACTGCGGCCACGAATAACTAGGAGGGCCAATCGAGACCATTGCAGAAAATTTTTTCCGTTGAGTTTTGGAGAGGTAATTTGGAGCGAAGTGTTTTCAGAGATAGAGATGTGAGGTGTCGTGGATGTGCTTTTAGGGAGAGAAATTGAGGTCGTATTCGATCCGTCGGAACTCTCATCCTTGCGCACATCAGTCATCATGGCTGTTTAACCATTCTGGTGTCAATCTAAACCTAGCTCTGATACCATAAAAACTAAGGATAGAGACACCAGAGAGACATACACGAGAAAAGAGAGAAGAAATAAATTCTCAAAATTGATTAATCAAAGATGAGGAATAGAGGCACTATTTATAGGTTACAAGAGGAAACAAAATCTAAGAATAACCTCCTAACTTTCCTAACAAAAAAGGAGATTTATTTGCTAAATTTAAACACAAAATCTAAACAACTTTAAAACAACTTCTAACTAAGTCCACATAATCTTAACTTCTAACTAATTCAACAAAAATTTTCAAAAAAAAAATTAATACCAAACATTTAATTAACCTCACTAATGACGATATAATTTTATGTGCCATTTAGGATTATTTTCAAAATTTCACCGACTTAAAAGTATCATAATTCCAAAAGTTAGGGACTAAATAAAATTCCAATATAGTTTGACAAAAATGTAATCAATCTAAAATTTAAGTATTCGTGGTTTGAATTTTATTTCAATTTAGTCTTTATGGTTTCATGGTTAACTTCCTATATATTTTTTTTAATTCAATTGTAGGGACGTGGATCAAACTATTGATCTTAGGGATATTATATGTGCTTTTATCCACTCGAAGTTTACACAGACCGACATCTTATTCATGGTAAACGTCTTTATTGTTACCAAATGTCAATGGTTTTCTTAAATGCCATCTTGTCCATGACAAAAAATAGGGAATAGACTATTAAAATAAAGGGTAATTGTAGTAGGTAGCAAAAATAATTTATGTATTTCAAAAAATGTTATTTTCAAATATAGCAAAATATTTGAATTTTTATTTTTGGAATTTTATTATTTGATATACATCGAATATATATCTGTATTTGATATATATCCAATCTATATCTGTATCTGATATACATTCAATCTATATTTKATATACATTTGATGTACCTCTGATATACTTCCGATATACATCCGATGTACTCCTGATATCCATTATCAGATGTACTCATGATATACATTATTAGATGTATGTATTATACTCTTTTATATATATATATATATATATATATAAATAAAGGTGTGATAGTACCTTAAATTTATGATATACTAAATATATTTGCAACTAATATACTAAATATAAGATATATCAGTTGTTTAAATTCTAGTTTATCATTGCAATTAGTTGGTTGATATACTAATATTTAATGTTGATTACTATATCACTATTATTTATTCTATATTAATATTATTTATATACTAAATATAAGGGATATAAATTGTTTAAATTTACAAAGTATATCAGATTTTTAATTTTTTTTTACGTGCATGATCTACATAAATCTTTTATACAATACTTTATATTTCAAAAAAAATTTCACCATTGTTTTCATATGCAAAAATAGTGGATATAATATTATTACATAAGCACACATGTATCATAGTTATATTAGTAGATATTATGGTTATATAGAGGTATATCAATGGTAAATAAGAAGCATATTAAGTATATATCAAATAGATATCACTGTTATATTAGTGGTAAATTATATAATCATATATAAGAAGTTATATCAGTGGTATATCATTTGTATATCAATGGTAAATTAGAGATATATCAAGTATATATTACATATATATAAATGTTGTATCGGCGTGGTAAATAAATGGTTATCATACGTATATCAGTGGTAAGCTATGTCATAAGTTTGGTTTTGATTTAACCTAGAAAAACTAACTGTGCACCTCCTCGATCAATCCCTCAACCCCAACTCCCCGTAACCCACCCCCATCTCTCTCTGTGAAAAGTGCGGCCACGGCGGCCATTCCGACCGACGACTGCGACCATCCCGACCGGCGATGGCGACGGCGACAGATCACGACTGACGACGTGGTGCTCTTGAACGAACGACATTTTCAGTGTACTATAGAACGAAGACGTGGTGCTCTTGAACGACCAGCAAGGTTAGAGTCGATTGTTTCCTATTTAGTTTTATGATTGTTTGGTTTATACCCAATTTGTGTTTGGTTTATACCCAATTCGTGTTATATTGKTATCACTGTTATTAGTGATTTGAGGCTTATGGGTAATTTCTTTTTGGTTTATATTCTACCCAATTTGTGTCATCATTGTTCTTGGTTCATTGAGGCTTATGGGTGTTTGATCAATTCCTTTTTGAGATAGTCACCAAAACCAAAACATAAATGATTTTTTGAGAGGACTTTTGAATACCCAACGGGAGAAGATATCATACTTAACAAGTTTAAAATAGTAATCTGCCATCGGATCTTTTGGTATCAAGCATGAAATTAGTACATCTACAAAGCTCAATAACAAGTTTAAAATAGTAATCTGCCATCGRATCTTTTGGTATCAAGCATGAAATTAGTACATCTACAAAGCTCAATGCAGTAGAAGCAGAACGTAGCTATAAGTTAGATAAAAAAAAGAAACCTCGTTTTCCTTCTGAGTTTCCAGTTTCCATCATACAACTTGAGAAGATCCTTCAAAATTGGTTTTACTCGGTCATCGGAAAGTCCTAATGATCTAGTTGCAGTCAATGCAGTAGAAGCAGAGGGTTTATTTTCCATTTTGTTTAGATTACAGGTTAATTACAAGTTAGRGGTTAGCAGGGAGGGAAAGAAAGATGGGAACATACCATTCTTCTTTTTTATTCTTTTTTTTTCCGTTGTTAAGTAGACCCATTCATCATATACATTATACATATCCAGATTTTAGAAGAAAAAAGAAAACAATGTGTGAAACAGGTGCTTTTCAAATAAATTTATGGTTGGTGTTTGAAATGCATAGAAACTCAAGTGAAGTAGAAGAAGAAGTCCATCMTAAACCAATGTGTGATTTTGAAATAAGTTCACCAAATTCAAATGAGAGGATATCATGTGATGGCTTCACATGACCCATGTGACTAAAAAACACCAATAATCTTAATTTTATCTTAGTGTGGAGTGTGTCATTTTACCATTACCTTTCTACAGTGATTTAAAAAGCTCGAGGCGCACAAAAGCTCAATAGACCTCTGGAGCTTAAGCACGAGGCGCAAAAAAAAGCGCGGGCTTTTTTATGCGAGGAGCACTATATATAAAAACAAATAAAAATATATATATACACATATAAAATATATAAAAACCAAACAAGATTAGAAAACATCATAGATCTTAGCATAAAGAATCAATTGTCCACAAAAACATGAAAATGATCCTAAACTAGTATAAGTATGATAGTTCAATCTAAATATTAAACTCATCATCACTAAATAGTCCTTCAATTTCATCATTTTCATTCTCTTCATCATTAGACTTGTAGCCATCTGCATCTTCCTCCTCGGTGTAATCTTCATCATCAATCAATTGTATGGGTGTGGGTTGTGTGGATTGAGAAGCACTTGAAGCTCCAGTCATAGTCCTACTTCTTGACCTTGACGTACTTGCTCTAGAATGATAGGCAGGTTCTTCTTCTCCCGCAGCTCTCGAAACATCACCCCATGTTAAGGAGTCATCACCAAAGACAAGATCATTATCCTCTTCAGAATCACTATCCATTCTCCCTGTCAACCACTCATTACTATCATCGATATCCTTTAAAGAGATAGGGTCGATTGTGTTCCGCATGTTATGTCGTCGTTTCAATGCTCTATTATACTTTATGAA